TGTGCAAACCCCCGACACAAAACCCAAAATCGTTGGATGGACCAAGAAGTTGCTATCTGAGGCTATCAAGGCTGACATCAATCATGATGGGTCATTTGGCAAGCTCAAGAGGTATGCAAAAAAAAGATATATGGAATCACGATCACTGTTCAGTTTTATTCAGCGTGTTTTTGTTACAGAAAATATGGAGCATGCTGCATTATCCTAGATTAAATTATGGCATGCTATCCCAGTTTTATTCCTGCCAAACGCAATTTTTATGTAATCAGAATGGGGGCAGGGCAAGTGTTGAGCAAGCATCATGATCTGTACTGAATAATTGCTCTAGCAAAACTAAACATGCCAGGGTCCAGGGGTGTAGTGATCTCGCAATATTTCTGCTGCCTTTACAATATCTTAACATGTTCTGTTCTTCGCAGGCTCATTGTGGCAATGCAAATTGAGTAGATTAACAGAACTCAAGGTTATGGGGAAATCTGGGATTTTTCCTGACCAACTTTCTCCAACTTCTGGTGGCTAGTAGCCAGTAGGTTTATGTTATTTTCAGTTCCCTTTGTCAGATAATGAGCAGTACTACTGCAGTACTGCCTAATGTAGTAACGTTGGCATGTACTACCTATTAGCATATATTAGTTAACTAACTCTGAATTTGGTTGACATTGTGTAAAGTTCTCACAGCTACCTGTTACCTACCTTACCAATCTGAGTGTCATAGCTTCTTTTATTTTATTGTCCCTATACCATACCATGGGTTTCCCCCATTCATATATGTTGCTTCTGAAAACATGAATGATGAATTGCCTTTTAGCTTGTGTTCTGGCACCGGTCATGGTACCACTACCAGGAAACTGAGTTGTTCAGTTAGGGGTGTAATAACCGTGACAGGGTAGCTTTTAGTTTCCCTGGTCATTCCGCTATAAGTTGCTATGTCTAAACGCTGAAAATTATGGTTTAATCACTTGAAGCCTCCTTTCCCCAGCTGGCAGCCAATTTTCCTGGTCGGCGGACAGCTATAGCTTGGCAGCTGCCACGGCTGCCTCCCTGCGTCCTATCCTGGCTGGGTGGCTGGATGCGTCCAATTCTGGTTTAATTGCTCAGTTCAAACCAATAGATTAGCCCAATCAATATATTAGATATGCATAAAGTAAGTAATATATTTGTTATGTATCTGCAATTTGTTTTTTTATCTGCGCTGGTGACTAGCAGTGCCAAGTTCTTCAGTAGGGCTGCCTCTCAGTTTTTTCTTTTGTCCCTTTTTTTTCCTGAGAGGATGCTTTTTCTTTTGTTAGATAGCAAGGTGCTCTATGGTCCTGCATCGATTTTTCATTCTCTGCTTGATCTGTGTTTTTGCCCACTACATAAACAGGTGTGATGCATAAAAAATGAAAACAGAGCTCTGTATTTTTTTTGCAAATAAACCAGGGGGGTGGGGTTGCAGTGGGATGAAAATGAACACAGACACAACATAGCAATACTGATCAAAGTGTAATTCCATTTGACAATCGATATAATACTGTAACTAGGATTCAAAGGTTTCATGCACAAGTAGTCTAAATACACATCTGACAATATAAGTTTATTTTTTTTTTTTGCCATCGGGCTATACACCACCAACAGTTCAGCAACTATAGATTGATGGGCAGCGGCGCGCACTCCTCGTCGACGGGAGTGGATCAGCGCGCTGGCTCTCGGTCTTGGTGTGGGCGGACACGCTGGCGGCTCTCTTGGCCTTGGCCACGGGGTGCCAATGGCGCACTGCTGCTCCTCGCTCAGGACTTGCTCCGGCCGCGCAGCTTCCCAAGTCTGGCTGTGTCGGGTGCGGGACGTTGAGCGCCTTGATGAGGGACGCCGGGGAGACCAGTGAGGATGCAGCTGGGCGGTCTGGGGCAGCCGACGCCGAGGAAGGGCGCCAGGCGGCGGGCGCAGCTGAGAGGCCCCGGGCGGTGGTGGTGGGGTGGAAGAGGCCGCCAGGCGTGGGGCGGCCCAGTGGGGGCCGAGGTCGGGGAGGGACGGCCAGGCGCTGGCGCGCGTGTAGGCGGGTGGCCAGCGGCGTGGTGGCGGGCGGCGAGGTGAGCAGCGACGGGGTAAAGAACCGAGCTCGGGCGCAAGAGGGATTTTGGGGATTTTGGGCCGACGTCGGGTTTTTAGGTTTTGGGTCTTTGCCGAAGGCTCAGATCCAGAGCCCTCGGCAAAGATATTTTTATTTTTTTTAAAAAAATTTTTTTTGCCGAGTGCCTCTGCCCAAAGACTTCTTTCTTTCTTTGACAAAGCCGAGTTTTTTGACCCCAAATTTTTGTTGGGCCACCTAAACAACTTTGTTCAAATTTGGTGCTTTTTCTAGTTTTTTTTTGTTTTTTTGATTGATTTGATTATGTTAAATTTTTTTGGGCCATTTTACCTGGAACATTGTTTACTTGAAAAATATTATTCATACATTTTGTGTGTTCAAATTTGGTGCTTTTTCTAGTTTTTTTTATATATGGTTGGTTGATTAATGCATGATTATGTTGAATTTTTATATATCTCCACGTTGCGTTGAAATTTGAGCAGCAAGTTTTCATGGAATATTGTATGTCTCTGGTTTTATGCATCCACGAAAAATTTGCTCAAAACATTCTCAATTTTTACCATAGTCTCTACATCTGCTATAATCACATGACACCATCTTCTTCAAGTTTCATGATTTTCGAATTGTATGGACTTTATATAATTTTAAAACACTTTTCCTATAAGTGGCTCGCCATGTTACGTGAAGAAGATGCACGTAAATTTGATGCGTAGTTCGTGGATAGAGACTCAAACATACACCAAATACCATGAATAACATTTTTCAAGCAATAGATTATAATATTCCATGCACTTGCAGTTCAAATTTGAATTATATATAAAAATTCAACATAATCAAATTAATCAACCAAATATAACAAAAAAACTAGAAAAAGCACCAAATTTGAACATGAAGTTGTAAACAATGTAGGCGGGCCCAACAAAAAATTTGGGGTAAAAAAAACTGAAAATTTGCCGAGTGCCAGCTTGGCGCTCGGCAAAGACTGTCTTTACTGAGTGCTAGGTCAGGAGCACTCGGCAAAGAATTTTTAAAAAGAAAAATTTCAAAAACGGTTAAACAGTCTTTGCCGAGGCCTAACGGTAATGCCCTCGCCAAAGATTGACGGCAGGGGATGGTAGTTGTGTCAGGCGATGTTGCCGAGGGCCGGCCCTTTCCTCGGCAAAGAATTATTGTTGACGTGTGCTTGTCTTTGCCGAGGGTCTGGCCCTCGGCAAAGAGTCTTTGCCGAGGGCTATTCTTTTTGCCGAGGGTGTGGCCCTCGACAAAGACTCTTTGCCGAGTGCCCGAGCATTTGCCCTCGGCAAATCCTCAGGCCCTCGGCAAAGATGCTATGTCCGGTAGTGGTTTCAACATCTAGCACCAATGACAAGTAATTCTTGCCTGAAATATCGAGAGCCGTGAAATCAAGCTTGGCAAGATTCGACATAGTAAACTACAAATATATAGATCGTGAAATTCAAACAATCACGCAAGAACAAAATATAGAAACAAATACAAACGATAATGTCTTACCACAAAATAATATTATGATCAATGTAAAGTTCCTTACCTAGTTCTTGATAGCTTTTAGAGATAGTCGTGCTGATAAGGTGTTATATAATAGCTAGTTTGACTATCAAGAATATGTATGTAAGAATGTGGAGAACAAATTTAGAGAGGAAGGAAATGAGTTGTTCTCTTTTCTCGTGTCTTATTTTCAATACATAAGCCCTCTTATATATAGCCATACATGTGACATGAAGTTTCAAGAATTGGTGCTAGGAGAGTTACACCATTGAGGTAGAATGTTGTAGGTTTATTGGTATAGGGGTTATGGATATCCACATTAATATTTCATAACATATTTATCCTTTTTTTCTAGTGTATCGTGTGATAGAGACTATGTTGGGGACTCCGACTATTAATTTTTGGAAAACCGAGCAGATCCACAAGTATTATTACCAATATTATTATCAATGTTGATTAGAGTTTACCGGTGAAATTAATGTCTAGCTTTTTTTGGTTTTTTGTGCAAATCTGTATATTTTTTCTAGTGCATCTTATGAGAATTATCGTAGAGTTGAAGCCTCCGGTTACTAATAATAAGGTATGATTTCCTCGTATATATAAGTTTGCTTACAACATCTACAAGAGTATTTCAGAAACTCACTCTCTAAATCATTATTTGAGGAGTCATTTGAATAAAATTTCTATATCTTTCCACTCTCCAACAACTTTTCTATATTTGACAATTTAAAAACTTTTGGAGGTTATTTTTTTCATTAAAATCTATATTTCTAACAATTAGAAAAGATATAGAGTCTCATAGAGTTGCTCTTACTATTCTAGCACACCATCTAATGTAGGTGTAGTTCGTCAACAATCAATGCAACGTTCTGTTTATTTTCTTCCATTGAACCCACACAATAATTTGAGTGTTTGAGTGGCCTTCGCGATCCCTCAAACTAAAACGAAAAAAAAAGGCCACATTATCAGTTTTAGGTCATCCATGCACTTCAGCGACAGCCGACAATTTGCAAACATACCCATACAGCAGGCCAGTGTGCCCGCCACCTCGATCTAAAAAATCAGCACGAAGAGCAGCTAGAAATCCACAGAGTAAAGCCATCCATTCCAACAGCTAGCTGACCAAAGCAACTTGCTGATTGTTGATCAATATAATGGCAGGCATAGAATAGCTGCCCTGTGCATAGCTAATTAATTACACAGACCAAGTAACTTCTTTACTATACAATAACAGGATGAAACTATAGCTAGAATGCAAGATAGCTAATCACCAGAAATCAACACTGGACTCACTCTCTCAGTGAGGAAGCACTAAGCCACACTAATATCTTGGCTACACTTAGCTAGCTATCACACAGAAGAAGCAGAAGCCTGGTCCTAGACTCCTAGAGTCCTAGCTACGCACACGCCGTGGCCGCCGGGCCGACTAGGCATAGGCAATGCCATCGTCGAAGTTCTGGGAGTAGCTATGCAGGTCATACCCGAACCTAACCGCGCTTCGCCTGGGCCGCGCCGCGCGTCTCCTCCAAGAGCACCTCAACTTCGAAAGAAGCTGCTTCACCGCCGCAGCCCACAGGCCGCCGCTCCTGCCGTGGACCCTCCCGCCCTGGCCGCTGCCGCTGGTGTACAGGCCTAGCAGAGACGCCGCCATGATCGCTCATTCAGTTCTCACAAGTCACAGACACTCTCGCGAACAAGTGACTAACTAGCTGCTCTCTTTGCTCCGAGTCCGAGCTCGAGTATCTGTGTGCTGCAGCTGTAGCTTCTGAAGAATTGAAGATGATGTGCAAAACGAAACGTCCCATGCCGCAGCTTTATAAGCTCCGATGGTGGGAGTATTCCGACGACACGCATCGATCGACGTCGGCACCCAGACCCACCAGCACGCACTCACGTACATGGTGATGACGAGGCATCCACTAACGGTCCAAGCAAAGTCCAGCTTCATATATGGATCTTTTTGAAAGCCGCGGTCGTGCAGTCGAAAGAAAGATAACAGTCTACCACCAACAGCAGAAGCATGTGCATTTGCTGGTGGTAGGCTTGCTTTAGTGACGGATCGGATGGCCAAGGCAACTGGCGACACGGCGGCGCCTAGTCACCTGAGCTGCTTCCTGTCCGTCCTGCCGGTAAGGTCGGCGGCTTCCTGTCCCTGTCCGTCCTGCCGCTGGATCATGCATGTCGGGGTGGTTATTCGTTGGTTAAGTTAGGCACCGGCCGCCTGCAGTTCCATGCGCACATGTGCCGAGGGAGCTACAGATGGCCACCGGCGCCATGGATGTGTTGATGCACGGTTAGTTGCACACACGCGCGGCAGCCGCGGCTGTGTGGAATGCCATGTGCACAATGCGTTTGCGTTGCCTGCGGGCTGCGGCGCTGCCGGCCTAATCGACATGCATGCGGGCGGGTTAGGGGCAAGATGTTAGTTCTGCGGAACTCAGCATGTCATCAGAGTGTAGGATGCGATGCCATTGGAACTTTGGAAGATGGACCGGTTGTGGGTTCAGTGACGATGGTCGATTGATGAGCAATCCAAACCTCTCACCATGGATAATACTGGTTACTGCTTCTTTTTGGATGATCTTATCCTTGTGCTGAAGATGACTAAAGCTTGGAAGAACGTGTGAACCTTTTTTCTTAAAGCTGGAACATGCATGTATGGTCTTTTGATATCTACAAAAAGGAAAAAGAAAGAAAAGATACCAACGAGCTGAGTCATCGATGCGGAGGATCGACATGGGAGCGGTGTCTTCTACTGACTACAACGAATTTCTACATACAAAAGAAGATAAAGGGAACGCCGCACTAGTGTCTCACAAAATGAAAAATCAAAATTGGTCCATGGCCACTTCTCCCAAATCTTGGGATCACCAAACTCAAGAACAAAGGCCACTAACTGGAATGAGGTAGGATATGTATGTCATGACCTCGGCGAGCTGGACGCTCCTTTCACAGAAGAGGGAAATAGCGTCAGTGATAAAAGAAATGCCAATGGAGAAAGCACCGGACCGGATGGGTTTATTGGTCTGTTCTACAAGAAGTGCTGGGCGGTGGTAAAAGAAGATGTCGTCCAGGCCATCTTGAGTTTCTATTGTCACCGAACAGCTAAGCCCAATCTCATCAATGAGGCAAATATCGTATTATTGCCAAAGACACAAGTGGCCTCACAAGTGTCGGACTTTAGGCCGATTAGCCTTATCAATAGTGTTGTCAAAATTATCACAAAAATTCTAGCTAGATATGTCAAAGGCTTTTGACTCCATAGGATGGAACTTCCTGCTTGAAGTCATGGAGGTGTTGGGCTTCAGTCAAAAATGGAGAGATTGGATAGCATCTTTACTAGGAACTGCATCTTCAAAAATCCTAGGTAACGGCCAGCCAACTCAAGGGATTAGACATGCTCAGGGATTACGACAAGGAGATCTTCTCTCCCCACTGTTGTTCATATTGGCTATAGACCCACTGCAACGTATCATTGAGACTGCAGCTCAGAGAGAAATTCTCAAGCTAATCCTCCCAAAGGCGGCAAATCTACGTTGCTCCCTATACGCCGACGATGGGGCCATTTTTGCAGACCCATTGGCCTTAGAGTTAGATCGCCTACATAGAATTCTAAACTTCTTCGGAGAATGTTCGGGCTCAAAATAAACATCTCAAAAACAGAAATCTTCCCCATCCGCTTGGACAACAACGTAGTCGGTCACCTGTTTCGCAATTTCCTAGGTAAGATATGTAATTTCCCCGGAAAGTATCTAGGACTTCCCCTTCACATTCGAAAGCTAAGAAAAATCGAAGTTCAACCCTTGATTGACAAGATAGGGGCAAGACTACCAGGTTGGAAAGGGAGACTTCTATCCACGTCGTGCAGGAAAACTTTAGTTAAGACAATTTTGTCAGCTCAACGCATCTATCACATGACTGCCTTCCCTAAACACAAATGGCTAATCCAAAGGATCGATCGCTTGAGACGGGGCTTCCTATGGAGAGGAGAAACCCCGGACAAGGTTTATGGCGGGCACTCTTTGGTGAATTGGCCAACGACTTGTTGGCCCAAAGGAAAAGGTGGACTAGGAATCCTAGAACTTCAACGTTTTACAAGGGCGCTAAGATTGCGATGGCTTTGGTTTCAGTGGAAACACAAGGAGCACGCTTGGAACGAACTTGAGCTGTTGTGCGATAGTCGAGACCATGAACTTTTTGCTGCTTCAACGGCAGTGACATTAGGAGATGGGAAAACCGCACAGTTTTGGACATCATCTTGGATTAAGGGAACTATGGCAAGGAGTCTTGCGCCAACATTATTCCAAAAGGCAAAGAGGAAGAAGATCTCGGTCCAAAAGGCTATACATGACAATCGGTGGATCTCACACATATTGTCCCTTCAGACGGCACAAGAGATACAAGAATACGTAGTTTTATGGGGAAAAATACATGGCGTTAGTCTGCAGGAAAACATAAAAGACTCCATACAATGGCGTTGGACAAACAATGGAGAATACACGACTGCATATCAAATACAATTTGAAGGCTCTTTCTGCAAATTAAGACTAACACCGATTGGAGGGCAGGAGCAGAACCTAGATGCCGTTTTTTCGCTTGGACACTACTTCATAAGAAGATACTTACTGCCAACAACTTAGCGAAACGCAACTGGACACATGATCCTATTTGCAAACTATGCAGGGTGGACTCAGAAACGCTGACTCACCTGTGCAAAGACTGCACCTTCTCGAAGCAAGTTTGGTCCTATCTAAAACAATGGCTCGATCTGGCAGTACTTGATTGAGTGCGAATGAATGGATTGCTACATAGCTACTGGCGTAAATGTCACGCAAAATTTGAAAGAAGGCAAAGGAAAAGGATAGATGGAATTATGATCTACTTCTGGTGGAACGTTTGGAAGGAACGCAGTAGAAGAACATTCTAACAAAAATCTTTACAACCAAGACAAGTCACCCTCCTCTCAAAGATGATATTCAACAGTTCCAGTCAGCAACAAGATCCATCGTTACTAGGGAGTAGTTTTTGTTTCTGGGTTGTTTTCGGTTCTTAGGGAGTTGGCACACTCTTTTGTTTTCGTGCTTAAGTTGCTCTAGGGTACATTTGTCGGCTTGTGTGCCGTAGTGGCCTACTGATCTTCTCTAGTTTTTTTTGAGACGAAAGAAGAATTATATTAGATCATAGCTGAGTACATCATCACGTTACAAGCACACTGAAATACACTACATATATCCAGGACCTGATCATCTAAATTGTACCCACGCTTTGTATAGCCCAAAATCTCAACTCTAAACTTGTATGACGATTCGTATAGATGACCGCACAGGCAAACACTCGGCAAAAGGCCTAAGAACATATGCCCAACGAACGGCGACCAACATTCCTGCAGGCGAAGTGGAGAAACTTCTTCTTTCTTGTATCTTCCTTGTTCTTTTTTCTTCCACCAAAGAATAAGAAAGACTGATCTGAAACTTATTCTCCCTAGTCCTTCATTGTGGTCAGATCTAACCACAACAAAACGAAGAAGAGACCGGAGAAAATTATTCCATGACGGCGACATCGTCTCCGCCTTGATGTCGCCATCCGAAAAGCCAAGTCTCCATGTCGTCAAGCCGATGAAGTTGTTGACGCTGATGTCACCCTCATCTTCAACAAAGCCGCCATGGAGAAAACGAATCCATCCTATCCCCTCGCCGTCGCCGGGGAGGAGGAGGAGGAGATAAATCCCCAGTACGAAGAAACTTGACATAGAGAGACTCTAACCCAAGATGACCCGATCTACTAGAAAACTTATAAAAAACAATAGATCCCCACTCCCTCCGGCCTCCGACGAAACGCCGGAGGACGAAGGGAGGGGGACCAACGGTGGTGGATGCGGAGACGACGGCGGCGTCGTCGCTAGGGATCTTCTCTAGTTTTAGTAGTTGGGAGTTTTCCTTTTTCCACATAGAACTACGTAATTAATGCATTTTTTTCCTTTTATCCGTCTAATAAAAAATCGGCAAAGCTTTTGCCTCCTTTCTAAAAAAATGTTAAAGCAAAAATCTCTAGATGAGGCGAAGCTTCTAGCTGCATGAGTCTTCAGCCTGATCACAGATCACAAAAAGGGATGGTCAGTGTTGATGGAATGCATGGCAGTGTATATGGGGGAATGTGGTAGCACAAATCATCCAAATCGTCATGGTCCAAGAATGAATCGCCAGTCTTGCTTTTTAGGTTTTTCCCCGACCCGATGCCAGTTTTCCTTTCCTTTGCCTTGAGATCGGTACCTTCATTTGGCTGTCACAAGGCCTTTTCCGATTTGATGGTCCTGCTGATGCATGCTAAAGCGATCGATCAATCGTCCGGGCTAACTACATGGATCTTTTTGAGGAATTGTGTAGGATTACACCCAAATAATAAATAACTTTTCTCAATATTCACCCTGTTCCGCTGCACGTTGAGCAGGGCTGCTGTGACTGCAGCTGCGTCCAGTCAGTAACAGACAGACTATACGATGGATGTCTTACAATGCACAAACCAGCAGCGCACAGTGTCAGTGACTTTTAGTTGACCAAATTTATATAGAAGAGCATTCATTTTATTTGCGGAAGTGCTAAAATCTAAGAATTATAATTTACAATGTTATTTAATAATGTTCATTTAATATATTTTTTTTATAAATTATATCAAATTTATTATAGTTTGACTTAGAATAGAACAACTTAAATGTACCAAGTATTATATAAGAACTGGTTTGGGCTACTAGTCCATAATAAAACCCCTACTGCAGAGGCAAGAGCGCATGGTAGACTGGTAGTAGGAGACATAAGTATTAGATGTTTGCCTACAATAAATTAAAATTAGTTATGTTTGTGTACTCTCTAACTCTTTTTGTCATTTTCAACACAATACCCATATATGTAATATATGTCTAGTTATTTTGAACTTATCCTCTATTATTTTTCCATGAACATATAGTCTCTCTCTCTCTCTCTCTCTCTATGCATCACACTTTATATGTCTATACAATGTATTTAATTTAGACTTAGGCTATGTTTGATTCAGCTTTGAAAAGTGCTTCTGCTGCAAAAAAAAAAATAATGTCAATTAAACGGTTGGGATTTTAAGTTGTTTTTTCTAAAAACAATTGCTTTTGCGTAGTACAGTTTTCGCAACACCTTAGACCCTACTTTTGGCTTTCACCTTTCCACTTTTCCAAATTGTTGGAAATAGAAAGGCAATTTGTAGTTGTTTCGAGGAGATAGAGAGATGGGGTCGGTTCTTATAGTTGTTACAACCAGATATCTTACAATTTTCATAGCACAAGCCGTTTTTCCACGTCTCACAGTTAGCAGGAAATCAACAAAGTAAAGTGAAGCCATCCATTCCAACAGTTAGCTGACCAAAGCAATTGTCCTTTGCATAGCTAACTACACAGGAAAAGTAATTTCTTTATACAATTACTGGATGAACCAGCTAGATAGGTAATCACCAGAAATTAACACTGGACCCAAATCTCTCAGTGAGGAAGCACTAAGGCACACTATACACAGAAGAAGGAGAATCCTGGTCCTAGACTCCTAGCTAGAGTCTTAGCAACGCACAACGGCACAAGCCGTGGCCACCAGGCCGTCGTCGAAGTTCTGGGAGTAGCTATGCAGGTCATACCAGAACCTAACCGCGCTTCGCCTGGGCCGCGCCGCGCGTCTCCTCCAAGAGCACCTCAACCTCGAAAGAAGCTGCTTCACCGCCGCAGCCGACCGGGCACCGCTCCTGCCGTGGACCCTCCCGCCCTGGCCGCTGCCGCTGGTGTACAGGCCTAGCAGAGACGCCGCCATGATCGCTCACACGGTTCTCACAAGTCACAGACACTCTCGCGAACAAGTGACTAACTAGCTGCTCTCTTTGCTCCGAGTCCGAGCTCGAGTATCTGTGTGCTGCAGCTGTAGCTTCTGAAGAATTGAAGATGATGTGCAAAACGAAACGTCCCATGCCGCAGCTTTATAAGCTCCGATGGTGGGAGTATTCCGACGACACGCATCGATCGACGTCGGCACCCAGACCCACCAGCACGCACTCACGTACATGGTGATGACGAGGCATCCACTAACGGTCCAAGCAAAGTCCAGTTTCATATATGGATCTTTTTGAAAGCCGCGGTCGTGCAGTCGAAAGAAAGATAACAGTCGACCAACAACAGAAGAAGCATGCATTTGCTGGTGGTAGGCTTGGTTTAGTGACGGATCGGATGGCCAAGGCAACTGGCGACACGGCGGCGCCTCTCACCTGAGCTGCTTCCTGTCCGTCCTGCCGATAAGGTCGGCGACTTCCTGTCCCTGTCCGTCCTGCCGCTGGATCATGCATGTCGTCGTTTATTCGTTGGTTAAGTTAGGCACATGCAGTTCCATGCGCACATGTGCGGAGGGATCTACAAATGGAAAACCGGCGCCATGGATGTGTTGATGCAACGGTTAGTTGCATCCATGCGCGGATCCGCGGCCGTGTAGAATGGGACGTGCACAATGCATTTGCGTTGCCTGCGGGCTGCGGCGCTGCCGGCCTAATCGACATGCATGCGGGCGGGTTCGGGCAAGATGTTAGTTCTATGGAACTCGCCATGTCATCAGAGAGTAGGATGCGATGCCATTGGAACTTTGGAAGATCGATCGGTTGTGGGTTCAGTGACGATGGTCGATTGATGAGCAATCCAAACCTCTCAGGCTCTCACCATGGATAATACTGGTTACTGCTTCTTTTTGGATGATCTTATCCTTGTGCTGAAGATGACTAAAGCTTGGAAGAACGTGTGGACCTTTTTTTTAAAAGCTGGAACATGCATGTATGGTCTTTTGATATCTACAAAAAGGAAAAAGAAAGAAAAGATACCAATGAGCTGAGTCATCCATGCGTAGGATCGACATGGGAGCGGTGTCTTCTACTGACTACAACGAATTTCTACATACAAAAGAAGATAAAGGGAACGCCGCACTAGTGTCTCACAAAATGAAAAATCAAAATTGGTCTATGGCCACTTCTCTCAACACTACGTAAAAAACGGTTTGTAGCAACGGGATAAATTTTGTGTTGGGGCGGCTAGTGATGGAGCCACCCCTACAGTAACGTGCTCGGGAGCCCAGAGACCAGCCACCTCAACAAATGGAACAGTAGGGACGGCTGGTCTCTCAAATTGCCCCCTACAAATGGGTCGGATTTGTGGGCGTTGTCACTCACTACTAAGAAAATGCTATTTGTAGGCTTTTGATTGAAGCCTAAATGCCCGGTTAGTAGTAATTAGAGTTTTGATTTGTAGGGGCGGCTCAATCACCAAGCCTCCCCCTAGTTTGGCCCAAATATAAAGCAATCTGCAGCACCTACTTCACCTCGGGTCACTCACATACAACTGGTGAAAGAAATGTGGGGAGGCAAAAAACTCCAAAAATTGCTCTACTAAGGGGGGAAGGTTTTGGTCTCAAATCCTTTGGTGAAGAGGTTGTAGACGGTAAAAAAATGCTATTCCACACTTTTTTGAAGTTTTAATGGTTGGTTAGTGAGTAATTAGAGTTTTGCTTTTCTCTCTCTTCTATGGTGCTTAAGCTACTTATGACGCAAATTAGACCCAAGTTTTGAATCTACTAGGGTAAATTAGGGAGGGGAACAAGATCATACCCTTAGTTAGTTTCTTGATTTTAGTGAACAATTAGTTAGTTTTATGAATATTTCATGTGCATGTAGATCTAGATCTAGGGTTTTCTTTTTTTATTAATTTCGGTTTTGTAAATTTGTGTTTGATGAAATTAGACTAGGGTTTGCACGAAAGATATTGGGTAAAATATAATTGTTGCTAATTGTTGTCTTTGAAATTATTTATTGTAATCAACAAATATGTATTTTAATTATTTATGGATAAATGAGCCGTTAATTAATTTTCTTCTACCATGGTGTGTTTGTATGCTTCATGTAATTATATTTGATTTATATTCATATATATCTGAAGTATATACAATTATTCTTAAGTAATTATTAATTTGATTTATTTTTATATATATCTGAATAAGTAGTCCTTTATGTTTGTTTTGTTGTTGTTGTAAAAGATGGAGTACAGGAACTCTTGGATATATGGTTCGTTAAGATTCAAGGCAGGTTTCCATGAAGAGGTGGATAAATTTATTGAGGCCGCAAAGAAGCATGCAACGACATTGACAGAGAATAAGGATACAATTATTTGTCCCTATAAAGATTGCAAGAACCGTATGGCATAGACAGATGTGACTATCATCAGATCACATTTGATTATGTGAGGATTTATTGAGGACTACACAGTGTGGATTCATCATGGTGAAACGGTTATTGTTAACGACGAGAATGAGGAGGAATACAACGATGAAACTATAGAATCCCTGCCCCAATATTCAGCAGAGCTTGATGCACGAATGGATTCGGAGTTTGGCAATGAACAAAGTGGTGATGCTGGTGGTTGGGATGGTAACGACGAAGGTGGTGCAAATAATGATGGTGGAGCACGTGTCGGGGATGAAGATGATTTGGAGGACATGATTCGAGCCATTGGACTAGAGATTTTACTAAATAGCCCGAAAGGTCTAGAAAATTTAGAAAGGGTGACAAAAGCATCGAAGGAGACTGTGTATGGTGTTGAAAAGGGTTGTCCGACACATTAGACATTGCTACGTTTTGTGCTTGAGCTACTCATCCTGAAGGTTAAGTACGGCTGGTCAGACTGTAGTTTCAATGATCTATTGCATTTCCTGTCATGGGTGCTGCCACAACCAAACTCAGTTCCCGCCAATACATACCAAGCGAAGAAGGTCATAAGTCCATTGACAATGGGGGTTGAAAAAATCCATACATGCCCCAACCACTGTATACTTTTTTGTGGCGAAACGTTCAAGTCACTGGATAAACGTCCCCGGTGTGGGGCCAGCTGGTACAAGAACAATGACCTTTATGGTGGGGAACGAAGCCTCCACGGGGAAATAGAGGAATAAGAAGGGTACAAAAAAGATGGTACAAGAATCTCAGCCCCCAGAGGACACTCCATTAGGCAATGATGCAAAGAAGAGAAGAATTCCTGCCTTGGTAATGTGGTACCTGCTAGTGACCGATCGCTTGAGATGTATCTTCCTAAACCCTAAAGAAGCTACACTCATGACATGGTGGGATGATGATAAGATTGCACACCCGGCTGATTGTAGTCAGTGGCAAAGGTTCGATGAGAAGCACAAAAAATTCAGCGATGACCCAAGGAATGTACGGTTTGGCTTGAGCACCGATGGAATGAATCCATTCAATGAGAGGATGAACGACCACATCACTTGGCCAGTGATCTTGACCATGTACAACATCCCAACGTGGTTGTGTCAGAAGAGAAAGTACCTTCTCCTCATTATTCTTATTTCTGGCCCTAAACAACCAGGCATTGATATAGACGTGTTCCTCGAGCCTTTGATGCAAGAAATGGAGAGGCTATGGAGGCATGGGGAGCCAATGTACGATGCGTTCTGAAAGGAGGACTTCATATGTAGAGCAATAATATTTGTTACTACCAATGATTACCCCGCGTTGTTTGCTTTGTCTGGATAGATCAAATGGAAGACGGGATGCTTGGTTTGCTTGCATGGTACTACATGGGTGTACCTGGATGCATCCAAGAAGATAGTTTACCTAAGGAACCGACGCTTCTTAAAGATAAGTCACAAGTACCGTTGCAAATTGTTCTTTAGATTTTATGACAACACCCCAGAGATTGAACCCCCTCCGGAGAGACGTCATAACGGAGAACACGTGTACAGAATGGTAAAAAACATACGCGTCGTCTATGGAAAGAAGAATCCAGATGGGACGAACAGAGATAGAAGCACACCTCATGTCGAAGGCGTATCTTTCAAGAAACAATTGATCTTCTTTTAGTATCTGCCTTATTGGCCAGACTTGGAGGTCCCCCATGCCATTGATGCTATGCACATGCAGAAGAATGTCTTTGAGAGTCTCATTGCTATCTTGATGGACACAGGCAAGTCAAAGGATGGTATGAAAGCACGGAAAGACATGGTGCAGCTAAACGTGATGCCACAACTTCACCCGGTACTTGAGGCTAATGAAAAATACACTCTGCCCGCGGCGAGCTTCAACCTAACATCAGACGAGAAGAGAGCTATATGCACTTTCCTGAGGGGGGTCAAAGTCCCCACTGGGTTTTCAGCAAATGTGAAGAAGCTAGTGTCGATGAAGGACTTGTCAATAACATACTGCAAGGCTCACGATTGTCATGTGATGCTGACAGTGTTTCTACCTATTGCAATCAGGGCTATAAAGCCAGAGTTCTTGAAAATGGCCATCACCCGCATGTGCTACTTCTTTTCGAAGATCTCACAGAAGACGATTGGCAATCAAGAGCTAAAGTGACCTACATGAATTTGTGATGGGGACACAAAACAACTAGAGATGTGTTTACCTCCAGTTTTTTTGATATAATGCCACATCTCATGATTCACATGGTTCATCAGATACATGCATTGGGCCCTTGCTACTTGCATGAAATGTGGTCCTACGAGCGGTTTATGTCGGTTCTAAGTCGATACGTGCATAATCAAGCATACCTAGGGGGCTCCATGATAGAGGGTTACAGTACTGAAGAAGTCGTCGAGTGCTGTAAAGAGTACCTAAAAGTACAGAAAGGGATTGGTAAACCTGATTCTCGTCACAAGAGTAGGCTGGCTGGGAAGGGCACCAGTGGTAGAAAAGTGTTCATCGACCATGATTACAAAGAGGTGAGTCAGGCACATTATAGTGTCTTGTAGAGTACATAACTGATGTAACCGTACATTGATGAACACTTGGCTATCATTATGGCGGAGAGAAATGGTAGTTCGGATGATTAGGTCATGAAACAACACAAGCAATGACTAACTACATGGTTGAAGGACCAAAACATACCGCCTGGAGAAACCATAGACTCTATTACCATCAGTAGGTTG